TCCCCGATAACAACGCGCGAACAAGTCGTGGCCGCGGCTCGTCGATGTAAACTTTCCCCGTTCACGAGCGCCGGAACACATTTTCGAGGCGCCTGACAGCCTCGGCCGTTCCAGATCCAAAATTCCGGCCGGCCGAAAGTTTCTCGAGGAGTCCCGGAGGATTCTGCGCTCGTGCGGGAACGCCATTTCGACGGGCGCGAGCGTTTAAGAAGCGCCGAAACTCTGTTACGAAGTTCTCTTGAAATACGCTGATAGGTAAGGAACTGTTGCCACAATTATGGACGTTAATTGTCCGCGGAAATCGCGGATATGTAGATCGTACGTATAAACTTGATCGATAGATCGTAGAAACAGTCGATAAAGTTCGAGCAAAAATGTTAGTACTTCGAAATAAACGTTGTTCCGATGAAATCTAACTGAACATTTCCATTTCTAAAGGAGCTAACTTATCTTCTCAAAATTCAATCATTCAAAAGCTTGCAAGAAAATTCCCAACGATTGCTTCCAAGAAACTCGACTCAAAGTTCCAACGCAATTCCGCGCGGAAAACTTTACCAGAGAAAATCCCGTTGGCTCGCGCTTGTTGCGAAATCGTCCCGTTTGGAAAGGCAATCCGGAGTCGCAACGGTCGCGCGTGCACGCGTGTATTACGCGCGCTGGACCGAGACGATTAAAAACTTTATGCCCATGCAACGCGTCGCGACGACTTGTTTTTGTCGGGCGGACTATTTATACGCGGCTTTTGGCAGCTAGGCGAGCGGTGACCGTCACGTTACTCTCTCCGTCCCTCTCTCTCCCGCTGAACCGACAAGAATTTGCCAAAGCTAATGTGTTCTGATCGCATTCCCGCGATCCTCGCGTCTGCTTCCCGATCGCTCGCGTGTTCCGCTCGAATCATTCGTTCCGCTTAACGCTTAACCGGTCGGCGACGCATCGATGCGTTTTATCTCGACCAGAGGCAACCGGCCGATGCGTGAATATATTCCTCGTCGTATTTGCGTTGAATTTGTACTACCTACGTTGACACACAATGTCAATAGTTACACTATTCCTGGGAAAAGACCTCTAAAATGCGGGAAACTTTGCCTACCAGCTGAATGTTCACCAGTTGACCAATTAATATCTTACAAGCATTGAATATTCGAAACGATCTTGAATATTGTACTTTCATTTGAATGCTGTAATGAATGTCTGAAGAAACCGGAAATAATCTAATCTAAAAGAGACTTCATACTTTTCTGATTAAATGAATAAATCAATACTGAGCAACCAGTGTATTCACTCATTAATCTTCCCAGTTGTTCTCTTCTCGACTGAACCGCGTCGCCTTCTGAGCGACTCGTTTATCAAATGCATTTTCCATTCGTTCGACGTGTATACTGGTCGTCGGTTGATTTGATCGCGCGACCCACGGGAGATTTTTCGAACTGAAATCCACAGTTAACCGGTGAAACGGCGCGATGCGCGGCTTAGCCGCGGCACGGATCATTCGGCCGCTGCGTCGGCGTGCTCGCGAGAAGCTCCTCGAGTTGATCAGTCACGAGGAATGTAAACACGCCGGGTTAATGAGGTTGTGTTTTGGATTACCAGCAGATGTACCCGTCGGAGGGGAACCCTTCCGCGTAAATTCGAACGGAAGATTATAATTGATACACATGTGGAGGCGTGTATTCGTTCGCACGCTTTCCAATTAACTGTGATAATATTGCCGTCCCGCGACCCTGATTCGCGTGTCATTATTATCTTTGATATTAACGTCGTTATCTGGAAACGTTCCTCTCGATTCCGGGGGAGAATTCGGCGCGCGCACGGTTCCGCCTGTAATTCGCGTTTCAGCGAAATGCGACTTCGGAACCAGCAGATTTACACTCCTATCGATCTTGCCGTTTCAGTTGTCCTACGTTATATTCTCTTTTCGTAAAACTTCATTCTTCTTTAACACTAGAACTGATTGACAAACAAAATGGACGACCAATATCGATCCAGCGCTTCAACCGAGGACTTCCATCTAAGGAAATCGGACAGGAAAATTAATCCGCGGCTCTGTCGATCGACACAATCGAAGCAGATGATTCGAAACTTCGCTGGAAGCTTTCGGAGAAGGAAGAAAATCGAGGACGAGTGATCCTGGGCGAATCTCGGCGACCGAAATCGGCTGACGATCGGAAAACTTAGCGAACTTACAGTCTCAGATCATTAGAAAAATTCTAATCAAATGGTTCAAACTTTTCCATGGGATAGTCAAGGTTCTCGGCGATTATTATTGTTTCCTGGAGCTTTTAGGTGCATCGAACATCGACGGAGTCGATGTATTCTATTATTTCCATTCGTTAGAATACTCTCTGCAATTACTTACTGTTCTCATTCAGACCTGGAAGATTCGGAGCACTCCGCGATCAAGCTTCCAGTTCCACGACTGGCTCGAATTAGTACTCTCCAGGTAGATCTATGATTAGAGTCGCGTGTCTATTAAAAGAAGATCCGCTGCGCGAAATACCGATTCCATGACCAGAATACTCCCCGATCGTCGCTCGATCCGTCGCTTAAAAATACACGATTCTTCGTACCCAGCGTTAGATAAAGCAATTCCGTAGTTTCAGGACTAAATGTATCCCAATTAACCCTGCTCCCGAACGTGTTAACTGTTCGCGTCCGCGAGACGATCGTCCGCAAGCTCGGACGTTGCCGAATGAATTACCGAGATTCCCTTGATTACTCTCTGGAAATATTCGCCGCGCAAATCTCGGCGGCCGACAGTAAACCTTTCCGGCGAGCGGGTACTTTCAACATGTTCGAAGAATTTATTCCGCTCCGAGTGGAAGTTGCGACCGCGCCGGAACTTTCGGACAAGATGTAAGCGCTCCGCCCGATGCACACATGAAAACGGGACTTTATACCGTCCGTTAAAAACGCCAGCAACATTCCGAGCAACCGTGTTGCATTCTTGATCAAGAACAAAACCAAAGGCGGACCGCTGCGCGGTTGTCGCGAAGATTCTGCCGTCGATTTATCGTCTTCCGATCCGCCGGAGGGCTGCTGTGACACATATTCTCTCGCTGGGTCGCCGGTAATCATAAATTTTTATCAGATCCCGCGCTATCCAGCGGGATCGACAACGTGACGTTGGAAAATAGGGAGAGAGCAGCGAGGAACGCGCGTAGTCGCGGTCGGATTGGCCCGGAGCGAATGGGAAAATGAAGAAACACGGCCCGGGAAGAACGTAGAATAACTGGCGCGCGAGTTTTCTTACGCGATTTCCATAAATCGCTTCAAACAGAACACTTTATTACATCAATGTATCTTACGGAAACTGAGCAACCGAAGTCACTTTTCCATCCCCAATTCTTCAATCCTCAATCGCTACGTTGCTCTAGATCATCCTTGAATCGTTAATCTGTAACCCTTTGCGGACGAATGTTGACATTTCGAGATCAAACTTCCATGTTCGGAATACTAAACGAGAAACGAATTATTCAACCACTCAAACAGCGAGGAACCGGTACGTACTTTCCTTGTCCTCCATGATTTAAGCATTCACCGTCTAACTTCGCCGCAAAGGGTTAATCCTCAATTTTCCTGAAACCTCGAGGAACGGCGGAGCACGTTAAAAATCGTCGCGCACGAGCGGCGATTCGATTATCCGAGGGAGAACCGAGGAACGGGAATCGTATTGTCCGCTTTCAGAAAACGAACGAGCGCCGGTGCCCCGTGAAACATTCGGCGTCGGGACGCGAGCTAATTTGTCCCGGCGCGGAGGAAATAATAGGTCGTGGGATATAAAATGATCGCCGCGCGTGTTACGCGCCGGCCATTCCGGACTTATTTACACGGCGCATCTGCGCTGCATTTATCAGCTGTTCGCGATGCATTCGTTCGCCGTAATTGTCAGCCGCGCGTCCCCCTTTCCGCCCCGCGCGCGCGTATCCGCTCCGCGTTCCCCTCGCGTCGCCGTTTCGTTACGGCACGCGTTAATAAACTCTGTCCGCGCCGCGAGCAATTAGATGGGACATCGAAGCCGCGAGTCCGCGGGAAAGAACTCGTTAATGCGGACCGTTTTATCCGGGAAACAACGTGTTGCGCTGCGTTGCCGGTTTCCCAGCGTTTTTCTCCGGCCGGAGAGAATTCCGTGGATTTTTCTTTCGCGTTTCTTATGGGAATTCGTTCTCTCGAATGCGAATTCCGTTACGTATTGTGTCTTAACGCTGGAGTTACCCAGCACTTGAACCGTCTTTGTAACATTTCTTTGCGGAAGCTGCGAGCGTGAATTTATTGAGATTTCAATTGGCTTAAGTTCGAGTTTAGGTGTTACTAAATCAGTCTCTTTAATCAGTTGCGACAGAAGTGTCTGTAGCTTTGCAGTAATTGTAAATGAAGCAATTAGGAATTTTGTAGGATTAAATTGTAGAGGAATCGTACGTGAATTATGGAACAAAACTATTTTATCTGAATATTTCGTACAGTAATGTATTACAGACTTTTGTTGGTAATTCGATCACCGTTCTCATGGGACACATTTTCCGTCGCAAGGGAAAAGGTCAGGTCATCGATTGAGCTATTAATCGTGTGATTTGTTGACCGTTAACACCTACATGGCAGCAATTAAACATGATTGATAACAATTCGGAGCGATTCATAGTCGAATAAACGCAAACGCGCTGTAATTCGCGTTAACTCGACCTCTATGGTGCAATTACATTCAGAATTATTTAGGTAAATAAAGGGAAATGATCGAATCTTATAACTGGGACTACTGCTGATGACTTAAATCATCTCTTTTGCTAATAACTTCGAGTATTCAGTTCCAAGAATATTTTTACCCATTCACATTTTGGTATTGCATTTATAGACGAATCGACCAATCACAGACGACTATCGTTTCCCCAAGAAATCTAGAAACTTTCCACTAGACGCCAGCAGAATCCTCATTGAACGCTCGAAAATCTTAAAACACGATTGGTCGAGTCCACGTCGATCGTAACCGCCGCTGTAAACAAACCTTCACCTTGTCCCAAACGAAACATTCGAATTAACGAATAACATCCTTCAGTCGCCATTACGCCGCGTCGCCTGTTACGATCCGTCTCCGACCTGTTCGTGTCGTTAGCTTCTGATAATCATCGCCGTGCTTATTTCTCCCATCTTGAATCGCGCGCGACGCGGTGTTTTGCTACGAACGCGGTAATAATTCTGTTTCAAAATACCTCGGGCACGAAACAATCGGCGCGGAGTGTCCACGAAAGGAACAAAGAAGCATTGTGTCCGGGCACGAATCCATCGGCAACCGGTGAAACGATCGTCGAAACCATTCCGCGTCCGTTCGAACATCGATCCCTCGATCCTGTGCGCCGGTGGAACGAATAATTCCAATCCGATCGTCCCGGGACCGCCGGAAAAATGGACGAGAGCAATCTTTCGGACTCGTTCGAGCTCCCAATTTCGGAGGACATGAGCACGCCGGCCCGGACGGGACTCTCCAGAGAAGACAAGCAATGGAGTCCGGCGATGGAGCTGCTGGTCCACAAACTGAAGGCCATAAACATCTGCAGAACTCCCAGAACCCCTGCCAGCACTCCGGCGAACTCGTCCCTGCTGGAAACGTCGAACTCCGAATCCGCGGAGTTATCCCTCAACGACGACACCGAGAAACTAAATTCCAGCGGAATCGAGAACCTGAAGCGTATCCTGGAGAAGCGTTTCAACATAGACTTCTCCAGCCCGCGCAAAAACACGCGGAGTCCTTCGAGGAAGCAGTTCATGGACGACGAGACTCTAGGCGTGATCCTGGACCACGTGAACCAGCCGGGTCGCGATTTGGACGCTGACGCGGACGAATTGATTAAGATGACCCCCATCTTCAGCCGCACGTTGAGCAAGAGACGCGGGAATATCCTGGAAAGCTCGATGGTCGCCTTGGCTGGCTCGCCTTACCAGGATCTGACCATGTCCTCGGACGCCAACGACGACTGCGTGCTGGAACGCACGGCGAACTTCATCTCGGACTACAGTCTCATCCTGAAGAAGGTGAAACGCGACGTGAAGGAGAAGAACATCAGTAACCTCGACGTGACGATGATGCTGTGCGAGAATCTGGACAGCAGGTTCGAAGCTACCATGACCTCCGAGCAGAAGGATATGATTCTGCGCAGCTGCTTGCAGAACATCGACGACTTCAAGGAGGAAAGCGGAGGCTTCGAGGCCACCGCGGACGTCGAGATTAATAACAATTCCATAGTGAAGTCGGAGGAGCCTGATGGTAGTCAGCTCGGAGATGATAAGAGTGATCGCGACGAGCAGTCTCTCGCTGATGCATCGCAGCGAATGGCGCCTCCTGATGGCGGCTTGGAGGACGAAGAAGGTAACGAGTACCTGTACCGCTTTAACGACCTTCTACAGAAATGGCGTAAGATTACTAACGCGAATACTCACGATTCTCCAGCATCCGAGGTTCACGAAGCAAGACAGAGGAGTCATTTCGAGTGCCATGCTTCTGAAGTCCCTGAAGATCCTTCGGTTCAGGACTATAGGAGCTTGGACGCATCCAGATCCCGGTCAGAGGTCTTCAGCGTTGACCAAGCGGAGGAGACGTTGGACAACGATGAAGAAGAATACGTGATAATCTCAGCGGAAACCGATCCCGAAGAATCCTTCGAAGTAGTTCCTGAGGAGACACCCACAGAACGCGACAGTTACGCGCCATACGACGCAGTGCCTGCTGTTCCCGACTTAGTTGCGGACTCCCCGAAAAATCAACTGAAAGATTGTCTCGATGACATCGCCGAAGAGAGAATGGAATGCTCGAAGTCCAGCGAGGACGAGGAAGATGAGAGTCCTGTAGACTCGTCGAAGCGCACGAAGTCGACGGTCTCGAGCAGCGAGAACGATCGAACGAAATATTACACCCCTGAATCCTCGAGCGTCAGCAGGATGTCCGGATCCAGCGATCATTCCAGCATGGTCGCCGAGGCGGATTTCCGAGGTTGGTCCACGCGTTCTGCAGAGTTAGCAAAGTCGGGGAACAGCTACGATAGTAATTCAGGTGAGCCGGAGGACGGTAACAGTTCGTGCGCGCTGGAGGACGATGTCTTCGAGCCCGAGGTGAACCAGACGGTCAGCAGAAGGAAAGCTAGTCCTCTGAGAGATTTCCTGTTGAAACTGCAGCTGAAGAACCGATCTCCGAGATCGGTTTCGCCTGTCGGCAGGAGACAGGCTGCTCGGGCAGCCTGTCATCCGTCGCCTAGGTCAGCGAGGAGTGACCGGTTCATGATGCCCAGGTACATCAAGACTAGAGCCGATGTTCCAAGGTGGACCAAACAGATGATCGAGGTTCCTGTCAGACCTAATAAAGGTAATCGGTTCGGATTTCCGGGGAATCGGACTTTCAGAGGATTCTAGGGAGAGTACTTTGTTCCTGTTTATAAGTGCCAGCTCGTGTCATTAGGTTGTACGTTCTCTTCGTGGCATCCTGCAACTGCAACTTCGAAAGTTTTGTTGATTCAATTCACATAATAAACTCGGAGACTTTATTATATCCTAATAGTGTGATTAGGATGTTTGTTGCCGGATGATTCTATGTGTTTATGGAGTGATGAGATGTTGCTGTTGCCGATGAGTTGGTCTTACAACAGTTTTCTAGCGACTAGCAACAGTCGTAGCTCGATCCGTTAAAAATTACTCCAACTGTTTCACAGTTACATCCAAGTGGTCCTAGTTGGAATAGGTTTCGTTTACCTTGAATATTTTCCCCAGCTTTTGATATTCTTCCGCAGGGTCCAACCGATCCGAGATTACCGAGGAAACACCGTGACGTCCTCCCTCTCGTCCCTCCTTCGCAGATATTAGGTCGGGATTACAGACGCTCCTCGCAGTTTGTCTTTCCCAAGCGCAAACATGAATTGACAAACAAGCCGGGGGTATGATTATAAATGATCCTTAAAGAAGGAGAACGCCGCGTGTCATCATCCGCTCCATGATGTACCGCGGCCCGTGTAATTGGTGGGGACGCGAGACGATGACTGGCGATAACTTCGCAGCCGACCGTGGGCGACCGGGTCGATCAATATTTGCCGGACCCGCTTTTAATTGCACCGATTCGCGCCGCAACACGCCCCATCCCTGCGATATTGCGAGCACCTGGACCGCCGGGTTCGTCGTTTCAACGATTGTTTGCCTGTACGAGCCAGTGCGCGTGAAATCTTGGAGAAAGGACCGTGATCCGATGTCTCGTGTATCCGGTAGAGTCTATTTTACGGTGGAAAACGTTCACGCGTCTACGAACAATTGCTATGATAACGAATTTGGGATCGGGTGGGAACTAGTTTATAAATTTATTTGGTTTTTGGAAGATGTGGTTTTCTATAGATGATAATGGATATGAAATGGGATGGAAATCAGTTTATAAATTTATCTGGTTCTCGAAAGATTTATATTTTTTACAGATTTCGAATGTTTACAAGTTTTCAGCTTCCAACAGCTTTGAAGATTCCGAAGGTCCCGACGGAAGGACACGCGAGGCTGTTTCATTGTTGATTATTTCATTGATTTTCCATTCCAGTGAAGCTGTTCGCGCATAAATCGCGAATATTTGTTTCGATTACCATTGCGAGACGTGCGGGTTTCCGAGTAGCCGGAAGTCGCAGAGCGGAAGCGCATGCTCTATCGATTAGAAGGTTCCGTGAGCGGTTGATTAAATAGATCGTTACCGTTTCCGCAGATGTCCTCTTTCCGCCATCGCACAAACTGACAGTGGCAGAAGTATTCGACCCGGAAACGAATCGGCCGCGGCCGGAGGTCCTCAAACAACACTTTATCCTCGAAGGCAGGATCGACGAGGCGGCGGCCCTTCGTATAGTGAACGATGGAGCCGCCCTGCTGCGCTCGGAGAAGACTATGATCGATATAGAAGCCCCCGTCACCGGTGAGTCTGATCTTTCTCTTATTAAAAACATTCCGTCATCGTATCTGTCTCCTAATTACCGTTCTACTCGATTGCCAAATCGAATCTTCAATCTCCAACGAACGCGAACATCAATCTCTCAATTAAAATCGACGTGGAAAACTCACTCGTCATAAAAATTCACAACATTTAATTCCCAAGATTCCCAGCTCTAAAACGACCGCGTCGAGCTCAAGAAGTTAATATAAAATTCAAAAGCGGCCGCACAGAAAAAAAGGAAGTTCCCCGATAAATGCTCACATTTTCCGTGCTCCGTGTACAACGCGAACGAGTTAAAGCCGTTCCGGTTC